TTGAACTCAGAGAGACAAGACAAAGAGACAGGTAAAGAACAGAGCACCAGAATAGAAATGCTCCACTGAGTGGAAGCAGAAAATGAAAGAGAAAAGGGGACCGGTGAAAGTGGAAGTATGGCAATGGACAAATGCTGTCATCAGAGGGCAAATGCTTCATCTCAGGCACATTTCATTCTTGTAAGTAGTTCCCCAAAGAAATCACTGGGACGATTAACACGAATCAAGTTACTCACATCTGCGTTTTCAGGATTAGGATCGCAGGGAAGACGAGCAGATAAAGGAGGATCTCTTGGGTGGCTTCAGTTCTCCTGGAAGTCCCATGGTGTGACGGGCTGTGCAGCAGGGCTGAAGGAGAGGATGAGGAGAGCGGTGAAGGCCCCTGCTCGCCAGCACCTGGCCCTCCCTGCCCGGGAGCAGCACCCAGGCCCAGGAAGCTCCTTGCAGGAGCCTTCCTATTTTCATTTGAATTTAAAGCTAAACCCACACTGCTGAGCCTCCCCAAGCGTTTTCCTGCAAATAAAGGTTACTGGATCCAACCCGCATCCCTTAGCTCACGGTACTTTATAGAAGTACCTGGGATAATACCTTACAGTGTCAATGATGAGGAGAGCGTCAGCATTCCTTGAACAGAAGGTTTTGCAATACACCCTGCTATAAACTTAGTTGGTTCATTACGAAGCAAAAAAAATGATAATCAGCTGTGGAAAACTGCTATAGATCAAATTGAAAAACATTTGGGATAAAAAAATTAGAAAGGTAGTAGAATGGACACAGCAAATGTCCACTCTAACAAAAAATCTTCCTTTTTTTCCCCTATTTTCTAGAAAACACTTAGAAAATCCTCCCATTTTGATAGGACAAGTTACTTGTATAAAGGGTATTTTTTGGAGATAAGCCACCTATCCGGTGGTCATCACGACTCCGTCCTTTCCCTGAGAAAGTCTGCATTCTGGCATACAGTCAAACTTCCAACCAGAACTGCAAATAAGATGCTACCATTCGGGGACTGCTGCCTTGTATCCTCCTCCCATCACTCTTCCCACCTTAAGGCCACAGAGCTGCCACGTTGTCACCTAATGGCAGGTGACAGCTAAGGGCCAGGTGACCCACAGTGAAGCACAGGGATGAGGATAGTACGTTGCAGGGTGCACTGACAAACCAAAGGAATCCCAGTTCCCAAAGACCCAGAGGAAAAGGCGATGAATCCGTAGGGATTTATGGATTTTAGTGTGCTGACTGCTGGTCCAGGAAAAATTTCTACACGGAAATCACATATTTAACCTTTAAACCAATGAATTGTTAGTGTAAGCACATGTTCAGGGTTATGCTTTTTAAGGGGTTCCTCACTGAGCAAGCAGGAGTGGGCAAAAAATATCAGGAAGTCAAATCTCTTTTGAGTCTTTGCTTTCCCATTTTCACCAGTTCCCCACACCAATGAGAAGCAACTCTACTGTCAGTGAAGCTGCTCTGCTAAGATATCTGTAACCAAAAAAATATATATCTTGGTTCATAAATGATCAGTCTTCCATAAGTTAGTTATGAGAACTATAAAAAAAATTAAATCACTTTTTAATTAACCAAAGCAATCAGTGATTTTGTCCACACAAACACTTTTTAACAATATTTTGCTTTTTATACAGCAACAATTTACAATTAACTGTCAGTTGTGATATAACTGCATGCGGGGAATAGAACTTCCTTAAAAAAATCATCTCATCCACGAGATCTTCTTACAAGCCAATGTGCTACACGGTCTACATGAGGGATCTGGAAATCAGAAGGAAATTTAAGAAAATAAGGCAGGAGAAGGTGATGTTACTTAACCGGATGACCTGTTGGAAGTACCCGTAAATGTCCATTTCTCTGCAGTACAAGGGCTGGAGACACAGATGATCACACGTGGTAGTGAAGGCACTTAGGAAGTCGCACGTGGGATGCCTGTAAAAGCTGGGAACTAAGGCAAAAATTGTTATTCCCACCTGGAAGAGCAGAGGGAGCGACCAGAGCCTGCAGCAAAGGCCGGGTCCCACAGCCCCTTATGTCATCACTCGCTTACAGGAACTTCACAGCTTCCTTGGAACCGTGTGGCTGGGGATCCTAATTCTCATCACTCACATTCAGCCCTCAAAACTAAATTGCACCAAGATGATGGGGGTTTTGTTTTTAGTAATTTGGCTTCCTTATTATTATTATTTTCCTTTCTTTTTCAAATACCATCATTCGGTGTCATGTCAGTTAGTATCAGTGGAGACAAGAACACAATTTAACCTATTTTTTACTGCTATACTGTTACAGTTTTATAGCTAGCCCCCAGAATGGTTCTTACTTTTCTCTGGGAACTAATTTCAACACGAGCAGCTACATTTGAAATAAAGGCTGTGAAATTTTATTTTCTCACCTGAAATGCCAGCTATTCTAACCATTTTAATACGATGTACTCTTACTGCACTTTATCTCTGAATGCATACACATACCCCTATATTTGTTGCTTTAATAACAAAAGACATCACTCCATTTTTATTCTCTCTCATTCGCTTGAGGAAATGACTGGCTGAGATGAACGCATGCAATATGTAGTAAAAAGGACATGGATTTTTCATTTAGGACTTCTATGAAAAGAACTTGCTTAACCAGCTTGCCAGCTAACTGATGGATGCTACTGATAAAGAAAAATATTACTGTGTCGAAACTCCTCCTCCTAAGTAATATTATTAGATCTCAGGATTGGTTGAAAACACAATTATTTGAGAAGAAGAAGGCAGATAAATGGAAGAGGATAGGGCTGAAAAAGAGAAGGAATGTCTCTCTAGAATATAAGCATTAAGACTTCACTACCTCATTTCTAACACCTAGGAATAACATCTTATTTCTTATTGTTTTAAGGCTGTTCTGGTCCCTTATCAGTTTTTCTGAACTGTTAGATGTTAATACTTTACATATAATATAATATACATATACTATATACATATAAAACTAGTATTGTATCAGTAATACTTTGCATTTGCAACTTACTTTCAACCTCGTGAAGAAGTTAGTATCTTACACTGCCCTTTGAAATATCCCAAAGAATTCCTTACAAAATACTACCTGCTTCCAGGGCTGAAAACCCCGTGTGGATGAGCAGAGAAAAAAAAATATGGTTCCAATATGGTTCAAATCAGGCAAAATGACTCAAAACAGACCAGGCTCAATCCCCAGTTGAGACAAACCAGCACAACCAAGACTGCCAAATCGTGCTACACCGCTTCAGTGTTCGTGTCATTGGGATTTTCCTTTGGGGGATTTGGACTGGCAGGATGCAATTAATTAAGTGCTGGTGCTGGAGCTTCAATAAGTCACTGGATTTAGTACCTCTGATCCTGTCGTAGGTGCCCAAGGATCTTCAGTAGCCCAAAAGTGGCAGTGACTTTTGCTTCAAATGCTATGAGAAAATGGTAATGACATTGGTACCGTTTAGACTTTGTTCAACATAGTTATTTGAGGAAGGGTTTCCTTGTTGTAAAATAACAAATGCATCAACACCTTCACTTATTTCATCTTCTATGAGAAGAACATTCTCTCACCAATGCTAAGAGCTATTCCGTTTTGCCAGGAATTTCAACCATCATGCGTGGCAACAACCTATTACCAACCTGTTGGGCTGAGGAAGCACTGACCAAGGAAGTATTTCTGCTTGGAAACAACTGTGCAGCAACAGGACATTCCTCACAAATTATGTATAAGCCATATGCTCCATACTACATAAAGAGTAAAATATAGCTCAGGTTACTGCATAAATGTGTCCTACTTGCGTGTCTGTCTTCTTGTGTACTCTTTTGAAGAACACTAAGTATCTCGGCTTCCTCAGCTCCTTTCAAAGAACTCCAGGTAATTTTTTGATGCTGCTGAGCCCTTTGTAAGTGTGGTAGGAATGGCAAAAACCAGCAGTTCCATCTGTTCCAACTTCTAAGGCAGCACACACTGGTTGGGCTCGCACATCAAGAAATCTCAAGCATCATTGCTGGAGAAAACGCTGTGAAACCTGGAAAGCCACAGGGATGCCTTTTTAGGAACACACGCGCCTGCATATTCCCAAAGTGTGTTTCACTTCCACGTGAGAAAAAAAACCTCTCCGAAACAAGATTGAAACTACAGCCCACAGCTTAATGACTAGTGCCTAAGTGGAAAGCACACAGTAAAAGTGAAAAATTATATGAGCTGGTATTCCAGCCAAGTAGGTCTTTGGATGAGCCACAAAGCTTATGGGAAATAAGATGTCAATTAAAATAAAGAATCTGAAAATTTCACATAAAACTCTTGATTCATCTCGCTCCTTTCTAAGTTGGTGACAAAACTCCCCCTGATTTCATTGCAGACCTGACAAAACCTCAAATTCTCCACAGCCTCTTGACCAGACTAAGAATGGGCCACGTGCAGTGTGAACTAGTATTGAAATACTTGGTGATTAGAACAACTATATCAACAAAAGGCAATTTCCAGTCAGACAGGAAGGAGTTTTGTTAATGATAGATCATCAATTTTTACTAGTAACCAATTTGAAAAAGTTATTTATGTAACATCTATATATCCATTTTAAATTATGGTATTTTTTTTAAAACTTTTTTTATTTTTAATGAAACCTTGTAATTTTATTAGGCACAGACTAGGGGCGGGTGCAAAGAAAGAAAAATGATGCAGTTCTGAGGCTCCAAATGAGGAGTGTTGCTCCAACTCAGTACAGCCCATAGCCTTTCTTAGCAGTTGCTGAGTTTTTCCAGCACATTTTAGGAGGTTTTGCCTTTTTCTCTCCCCCGTGAGTGAGCTCTGGTCACACTTTGTGGGTCTATGATGGGTTCCATCCACCTCTTCCATTCGCGAGGACACCTGGCTGGTGCCTGGAGAGGGCTGTCATCAGGGCTTGCTCATCCCAAGGGATGCAAAAAACATTTGTATTTGCTCTTGTATGCGACAGGGCACCACACAGGTGGTTTGGGACACCGGAATGCTCATTCCCCATCATGTGCAAACTGAACTTTGTACTTACAGCCTCAACAACCACCTTATGTCCACAAGGTAATGGAGAAGTATTTTGTTAAAGGAAGAGGCCACAGCCAAAGTAACTGTCCTCCTCCAGGTATGCTAGGGCCCATGCTAAGGGGAAGCTTAGAAACCATTATTAGTCTAAGAGCAACCACTGAAACCAACGCCAACATAACCTCCGCCACTGCTCGTTCTTCTGCGGAAAGCAGGGTTGAGGCCTCCTTTTCCGCAAGTCCGCAGGGATCTTCCTCACCTCAGGAGCTTTACAGGAGAAGGACTAACTAAGCTGCCAAGCCACCAGGCTTCAGCACATTAACGGAGGACTCTCCAAGCCAAGACTTTCCTTGTTCTGTGTTGGGAAGACTTTGTTGCTCCGAAGCATTAACAAGGGTAAGGCTGAGCCTGCAGCACCGGCAGAGACACTTAAAGCCCAGGATCCCCTAACAGGAGACCCAACCACCCCTCTGCCTGCTTGGCGCCCTGAGGCCACCAAAGCTCTTTGTTTTTCCTCTATTCGCGCCTGCGCTCGCGGGCGCTGCTGGCTGCGCTCGGAGACTCCCTGCGGCAGCTCCAGGTGAGGACCGGCCCCGGGCGGCTGGAACCGGCACCCTCACATATGAACTGTCTATATATGTTTCCACATATAAACTCTAAATCTACCAGCACCCTAATCGCCTTTTTCTCCTTTATTTTTTTGTTCAACACAGGTGTTCAACACACTGGGATTCGAGTGCACCCTGGAAGAGGTTGACCTAGAAGATATCACCGCGAGTCAAGTCAACACCCTAAAAGCTTGCATGTCAGAGGGCTCGGGGGTATAAAAACACATAAATTTCACCATGGTGCTGATAGTATTCATATATTCATCACGCTTCTGCCAATGATCGGGTGTTATTTTCTTTGATTTGCAGGCTGGAAACTGTCCAGTGCTGGAAAGAGATACTTTTGATACGGTAAATCGTGCTTATATCCCCAAAGAAACAACTCATTTTGAGGGTTGTATGCTCGGGAAGCATTTAGCAACTGATTCCTATATTTCTAAGCAATTCTGACTTTTGCAGAATAAATGCCTGCGAGGCATCTATGAAGATCTGAAGGCCTATAGGGCAGAGCTGAAGGATTTCAGTGATCAAAAGGTGCTGACGACTATTGATGAGATGATGAAAGTAGGTATTTCTGTCTTTTTTACCCCCTTTATGTAATTTATGGCTTAGAACAAAGGTGTTTCTCCAATGTGCTCCATTTTGCAGTTGGTCAAATAATGAACTCTCTACAATGTAGTTATTTAAAAACTTGTCTCTTAAGGGGAAAAAACCCTAAGATCCTAGTACTAAGTTCTTTATTCTGAATTATCGTGCATCTTGTTTGGTATTTTTGCTTGATAGTATGGTCAATGCATCAGTATTCAGATTTAGGGCTTTTAGGAGTCCTCATTCTTTCAAATTGCTCTGTCCTTGCAAGGAGACGGCACGTGTGGTTTTCTGTAAATTTCTGTAGAGTTTTAGAAAACTCAGAATTAAAAAGCACCCACAGACTTATTCCTCTTCCACATAAAGATGCTCTGAACTTTGGCGAATGCTACTAGCGAGCTCAGGGGGCAGATGGGGCACTCTTGGTTTCGATGCTGTTGACGCTGCTTCCTAACCCGTGCGTCGTGGCAGGCGCTGCAGGTCGGCAGCCCCAACGCGCCGCAGCCCTCGTCGAACACGGCCCTGACTTTCAAGGAGCGCATGAGGCTCTGCAGCGTCCTTCACGCCTTCCGGATCCGCACGGTGACCATCAACAGGATGCTCAACCACTTGACGTCTCTGGAAAGCTCCCTGTGAGCCCTCCACGCCGCGGGCGCGTTAGGTATCGATGTGACCTAGAGCTGTTGGAGTAGGAGGGTTAACGTCCTGCAACCTATTCAGGGACGTTTTTTTTAGGAATTAAGCACACAGTGTTTTACAGAATTGCTTAGGAATCGAATCATGTTTTAGTGAACTACTGTCAAGGCTTTTTAAGCGATTTTGTTCAACTTGAAAATTTTAGAAGATAAGCTATATTTTACGAAAATGTTCTCAAGCAACTCAACACTCAACTGTATTTTTTCTTAAATGGTCTATTTATTCCATCATAAGTTTATATAAGTTTAAATATGTTTATACTATTCCTATTTTATATTTATAATGATACTTCCTATTTATTACCTAATAAAATTTAAAATATTTATTCAAACTTTGATTATCCTTTTTTCCTTCTTAGTCATGCCATAACATGAATCAATATGACCATACTTCTAAAATCTTTATAGAGCTTGCATATAAGCAGTATACTCTGATACAGGACTGGTATTAATTTAAAAGCCATTTTTCGTACTAGTTACACCATGTATGTTTGAGGGAGTTTCTCTCATAGCGGGCAGCTCAATTTCCTTCTTGTTTAAAGCAAATTGCAGTCTGTTATGTAGTTCACGGGTGAAACGCAGGCCTCACGGAAATCAATGGTCAGATTGTTTATTTCAGTGGAGCAAGGCTTTTCCGCGTGGCTCTTAAGGTCACCGAGGATGACTGCATCATTATTTCCTAAATTCCGACAGTGTTTAAGCTCTCCTAAAAAGAGCGGGGGTGGAAGAAGGAATCCACTCTGCAAAATCTGCCCGACGGCCTCTAAGCAACAAATCCTGCGACTCTTCTGCCCTGCCAGTTGCTGTGTTTTTTTCGCTTCCCACTCATGGTTTTCCAGGTCTCCCGGTGTTTTATTTCAGCTCTGTTCCCTGCTCAGTTCCTGCCCTTGTGCCTTTCCCGGGATACCTCTCCTCCTTCTGATATCCACAGATTTCAGCAAGCAAAGGCTTCCAGTTAGGAAGCAAAGTCAATGGGTGCTGCCTTTGGGCAAGGCACTTGCAGAGAGTCTTGCTTAGTTCTTGCAACCCCCTAAGTTGCACGTGCAGGAGCAGATCATTTTTAAGCTTTTAGCCCGTGCAAGTGCTGTAACAGCAACGTGGTAGCCCTATTTTCATTACAGAAGAAAAACTTTATGAGAGTTTAGAATGGCTAAAGTTCAGGTTAGTAGCTGGGTTAAAGAGCTGCCTTGAGAACACCAATTTCAAAAGTGTTTTACCATTTCTCCTGTTTTTTTCTAAGGGGACTTGCACAGCCTGAAACAGGCTCCAGAGGAAAATTACAGTACAAAACTTTTGGGACATTTTGTTTGTTAAAAGTATCACAGTACTCGTTGAATTATGATTACAAATTATGCTTATTATGAATAACATAAGGAAAGCTTTATGATAAACTCCTCTTTTCTAACTAGTTAAGCAGAAAGACAAACTTTTTCCCACAGTGGAGCTTATCTGAAGGGTCTGGTTTTTACCACCTTCACAGTGAAGCTTGGGCCCACGTACCCAGCATCTAAACCTGGGGATTTGCCACCAGCTGGGGGCTCTCGCACAGTCACGGATGATTTAGAAAGGGAGTAATAATCTGAAAAATACAAAGCACGATATTTTCCAAGAAGAGCATTTTGCATTGCAATTTGGCATCACTCATTAACACTGTTCACTAGCAGTAAAGCTCGTAGTAACGTTTTGGGAAATGATTCCCTTAATGCCCTCTTTTACGAGTTAAATAGTTTCATTCACGAGCAGGAAAAAAAAGAAAATAACGACAGCTGTATTATTTTTACTATTAGCGGCTACGTACCGGCTGGTGCACACGTGGATTTGCAGGCTCTTGGGTGTGGAAATCCAACCCTCCTGGGAGCTCCTTGCCGCTGCCAGGGAAAATCCCGCAGGGAAAGGGCACAGCAGAGCACAGGACCGTGGCACAGGGCAGGAGCCAGGCAGCCCATCCATCCATCCCCACGTTTGTGGGGAGCACGGGAGGAGGTTGCCCATGCCCTGGCACGGGACAGCAGCGGCGCAGAAGGGGTGGGCAATGGGGCTAGAGGTGCAGTTGGTCGGGAGATTAAAATTAAAAAGGAAGCCTGAAACTCTCATGCAAATAGTGTAAACGTCGCCTTTTTAATTCTTATTTCTAAAAGTATGATTTAACACACATACACTGATTAAGACCATCAGGTGAATCGTGGTGTCTTTAAAACAAGACAATTTCCCCTTTAAGGTAGCTGCTCTCTTCTACAAATAACGTTACTTTAAAATATTCTACAATCCTGTAGTACATCTATTGCCTAGATAATACCCACCTTTCTGTGAAGTTTGACTTTTCATGTCTTAGACTTCTACTCAAAGTAAAATTAATCAAGTAAAAAAGTAAAAAAGCATAAAAAGGTTGTAATAAAAAATACAAAACATACAAATTTATCTCACAAAAACTGAGACAGACTATACAAAAAACAGTCAATCATAAGCAAACAAAAAGCTGCCCATAGTTAATATAGATGCACTAGTCTTTGATTTGTTAGAAAACGGACTCACAGAACAGCACAGCTTGAATGCACAGGACTATATACAGTGATTATGTAAATGGATTTACCCACAATTTAGAGAATATTCTTCCCTGATGTTAGGCATCTGTGAGATGCACAACATACCTCATGATTTGGTAGTTTTTTTTTTTCAAAGTGATGATAGCTTATAAAAATTTGCTCCCTGTCTTTCCCTGATTCCAATAAGGCTGCCTCAAGATAAAAACTCCATATAAAAAAGAGGCAAACCAATTTTGCCAGTCTCACTTTTAGAGCGAGACAAGATCCAGTGGAAGTTTGACGTTTCACATTTGCCAAGACGAGCACTTCTGTTTCGACGAGGCAGGGGCGATGACTGGGATCTGAACACAGGACTGATTGCTCCCAAAAGCATCCAATTCCCTTATACCAATGTAAGATTTCATGCCTACATCTTCCAAAGATTTTGCTTAAACTTTCCGCTGACTTGAATAGGGCTTGAATCTTCATATTGGAAACACACTGAGATCCCAGGTAAAGAGCTTGAAATGTTGAACTGTTTGGCTGAGGGGCCTTCCTGAGTTTTCTCCTTTTAGCTGCAAATTGGTCACTGAGCCAAAAACCCTGAGGGAATGAACACACACAAACACACACACATATATACACCCATTACTGGATCTCTAGAGCTTACTACAACATCAGTGTTGAATACTAAATGTACACATATGTGTGTCTAAGGATCAGGTGACTGGGGGAACACGAGTAACCGTTCCCTCTTTAAGAGCTAGGTCAGGTTTATGGAGAGTTACCAAAAAAAAGCATTATTTTCAGTTTCTCAGAAAGCTTCTCTCAGCTGGTTGAGCTCTCAGCCCATGGAGCATCTTTTGGATGTGCTACACTGATGGACATGAGGAGTCCTGCAGGCATTGGTAGGACTGTCCATATGCCACAGGGAAACACATGGGATGAGTCTGCAGGATGGATCCTTTAAATTCTGGGGAGATAGTGTTACTTCAGAGAGCTATTTAGTAAAATCTCTGATTAAAATTCTCTAAAGAATATCTGAAACACAACGATGTAATTAAGTAAATCTGAGGTTGATCTGTACCTTCCAGCAGTTCGACGATGTCATACGACACCTTATCCTTGAGGCTGTTGTAGAGATTCTGTGCTGTTCCATCACCCTTCTCACTCTCTCGCCACTTGCTCAACATCATAAATTTATGAATATTGACCTCCTCCTCCTTTGCCTGGATCTGCTGGATGTCTCTCATTTCCAGGTGAAGACACTCGATGGCGATTTCTTTCCACTCTCTGCCAAACTTCTTGGCGACGGCCATGAGCTGCTGGTCAGTCAGTAAACTTTTTGTTTTAACGCCATCTGAAGTGATACAGGACAAAAATCAGAACCAACATTGTTCTTATTAGCAGTAATTAGCTGCATTAGACTTAAGTTATTTTTCACTTTAGTTGTTGATGGCTGTGGCGGGTTCAGCGCTCCCGTGGCCACGAGGGACCTGTCACCTCCTTGGTACACAGTTGTCCAACTCATCCAAATGAGTTGCCCCTCATAGTTGTCACCTATCCAAAACCCTCTGAAACCTATGGTTGCTTCAAGAAGCTGAGCTGTGGTTTTCCTCTAGTTACAAGAGCCATGGAAGCTCTGCTGGGATGCGAGCAGTCGGAGAGGGCGGCGTTGCTCTCCGGGGAAAGCTCTCCCTCTGGCGGCAACGCAGCCCTACGCACACATCCCTACACTGCCAATCGGCTCCTGCGCAAACCCTTACAGACTCGAAAAACAAGAATATTAACAAATTTGACAAGTGAGATTGAAATGCTAGTAGATAGTTCCCCCCAGAGGAGGGCCCGTGAAGAGCAGGTTCTGGAGGCAGAGAAAGCAAGGCTGTAATTGAAATACAGAGTAAAACCACC